GTCTGCATGTCCGTATGTTCAGTGCCGATCCAATGGTTCTAATTTACACGTAGAGCAGAATCAGTTTATTGCTATTCTGAGAAATCTCCAGTTATTAAGTTTGGTAACCTCGTAAGTTATCCCACCACTGAGAAATAATGGCGTTAAAAGTGAAACGCTTGCTAAAAGAACTCGAATCCTTCAGGTTGTTGATTGCCTGATCATTCAGTAGGGCTATTGTCAGGTAACTGTACCTCAATTGTATTAATAGATATTCGTTTAAATAAGAAGGCAAAAGCAAAGTGAACTCTGGTGGCTGTAGAAAAATGACGACATTTTTAATCGTGAAAATGGGCTATTATGGTCAGTAATAAAATGAATTTAAACTTGAAATTCAGTTTTCTATTAAAGCAAACGTGAAAGCATATATGACAATTTTCTTTGTTTTTTTTTATTACTATTATTTTATTTATTTTATGTACTTTTGGTTTCTCAGAATCCAGTGGTGGCTTCAGCGCTACTTCCAAAGCGTTCATTTTTTCGCTCAACAACAATGAAGGCTTGGCACCGTTTGTCAGCAAGGTGAAGAAAGGAAACACAGGAAAGGCAATTTACAGGGGTTCATCTACTGGTCCAATCTTTGGCTATGATGTCGTCATTCAAAATAATGCCGACAGTAACAGCCTCTCAAGAGCACGTTTGCACTATCACTACTCTGTTCCACCTGCAGTAAAGGATAGGGACACAGTCCTTGCCGGGACTTATGCCTTCTCACCTGATGAGGTGGAGGTATTTTATCTTGACCCATCCCGCTAAACGCAAGATAACACAAACTATCTTATTTATTACTATTAAATCTGAGAGCGAAGCAATGGGGAGTTTAATATCACTCAGTTTAAACTTCTTTTTAATTGCTGTTAGAATAGTTTGCCTAGTTTGTTTTAGGATTTCAATATAGCTGGACTATTTAGGGCCGGTAAAGGCTTGGGATTTAGCAATACGTGCTACAACGTAATTAAAAACTCTTTCTAAAGCAACTTTCGACAGCATGCACTGCTCACCATACAAACACCAAACATTTTTAAAATTAGTGACCCGAACGATTGCAGCATTATTTTTACTTATTTCATGATTCACACCTTTTATTATGTCATTCAACATAAAAGTCTTGGAAAGACTTGAACGTAGCAGGGAATTAGAAGAGTGGGGACAAAATGGCCGCCGCGTGACAAAGGTCTATAACAGTATTAGGGAAACCAGTTGTGCTATCCAGTAAACAGTGATTTATCTGGTGGATAGCGTTGTCCACCTTTTGATTAACTGGGGCTTGAAGAAAATATAAAACAAATTTCATTTTAAAAAAAAATAAAACTTTTTAAACTTGAAAAAGTCGGCCCAATATCTTGAAGTTTTTATCCATATTTCAATCCTTGCCATTCTTAGCAACAGACTACAGGGAAACAGTTTTATTGCCGATAGTAAAGTCTTAAAACTACGAAACTGGACCATGACTATTTGAAATTACGTGTTTTAACTCTTTAAAAAGATTACGAAGAGCATGACATTGGCCCTTTAAATTGAACTGGGCTGTGAAAACATCTAAGCGCGTAGTTGTTGTAAAAAATAAGCAGTGCTGCTTGTTGTAACCGATTATTGGTTCGTCTTCTTACAATTAATCATGATCAATTTCATCGAAAAAAAAATGGTATATGCTTTTGGGGTTGAAAAATGCGGATAAAACATTCATGCTATCAGTCCACTTACCCGAGTCCTGCTCACTGAAATAAGGCTTCACCCCTCCTCTCCCCACCCCCTGCCCCCTTCCCCCACCCACTCATTTTCGGGGTTAAGACAACCTAGATCTCTTATCCTCTACAAGTATTGTACATCGAGGGAGGATAAAAAGATGTCGATGTATTTTAAGCTTAATGTACATGTATATAAGTAATTAACTTTGCGTGTATTAACAGGAGTTAAAGTAAGGGTTAAATAGTTAAGGACGCTATACCTGACCTTCTTCTTACAGCAAGAAGTTCAAACTCAGAGCCTATATCTTAAGGTTATTTATACGGAACGTTAATAGCTTTCACTTTACAGGGAGGAGGTATAGTGTTCTTTACATTACATTTCATGTAGTTTTTAGACGGAAGTTTTGTACGGAAGATCAGGCAACACGTTTTCTCTTCAGTTCTTCTGTTCGCTTTAAGCTGATCAAGACATTTCATAAAACCAGGTGGCAAGAGATAAAAAGCAGTCAGTCATTATTCATTTGATTTCTGGAAAGAAGATTTACCCGAGGAGTTACGAAAATGGAGGCAGGAAGGCTTCCATACTGACCCCGTGCGCCGGAACCCACTCTGTCTTGAGATCGCTTCCCCTAGAGTGAGATCTTAATACTAAACTAATCACACACCCTACTCTCAGCCTCACCGAAAACACATGAATAGTGACTGAATACGAGTCTAGGACAGAAGCATTTGCCCTAGCTTGGATTCTATCAAGTGAGGATATTGATTTCGCCGTTTAGGAGTAGGGTGGTACTGCTTGAAGAGGGGCGGTACGGCTTGTATATCGCTACATTCCGACCCCGCTATTTAACTTTACCCTCAATTTCCTTGTACTTAACCCTTCAATCCGCACGATCCACATACAAATTCTCCAGACTGATCTCCATACATTTCTTTTAGGAATAGTTGAGAGAATTTGGTTTAAGATCAAAGCGTTCTACCTTTGGTAATCAATTTAGTAATTCTCATAACCTTTACTCTTGATGATCTGCTGATGTTGTTGAGAGAAAACTGATGTTGGTCACTCTTGTGACCTCAAGGGTTAATAAGAACAGAATCAAAGAGAAAACAGGAGGGTCATTGTGTTGGTAATCAATTTCTTATTTACTCAGTTTATCGCATGTCGTACTTTATGGCCAATAAATTGTATTCTTAGGATTAGGCTGATAATCTAGCTGTATTTTTGAAAACATAGCCAGCGAACTGAATTCAACCCCTTGATTGTAGAAAGCCAAAACGCAAGTTTCTTAATTCTTGCGTCTGATTATCCAGAAGATCACACTAACAAAGGAAAAGGAGCGGGAATTACGAAAATAGAGGGAAGTGGGAGAAAGGAAGGCGGAGAAGGGACTGAAAAGACAATGGTTGCAGCCTTACTTCTTATATTGGCTACTTATTTGGAGATACTGTAATTTTTGAAAAAAAAAAAAAAAAAAAAAACTGGCGGAAGGACCATGAGGACTTTTTGGTCTTTCAAAAATCTAGCTAGAGAATAGACTGAAGTATTTTATAAATTCCTCGGTAGAATAGCCACAAATATCAAGATTAATGTTGTATAGATAGATCATGTAATGGTCTTGTGCTTTTGGCCTCGGTTGTGATGGTCACATGAGATAAGATTTACATTGATTCTCCGCGTTGTTTTTAAAACATTAAGTTACATCAACATTTATTGCCAGCGGTCGACACACCTTCTTTGATGACGTCAGAGTTGAAGGCTTTCAAAAGCAGCAAGGCCTGTTTTACAAGCACTTCTCTCTTGTCAGTGTAATGATTTTGTATCCGTGCTGTTAACAAACGAGGAGGTGATCCACGTTGTGTGGTATGTGTAGTAATTAGTGAAAACACCGTGAGTAAAATCATCTCCTTGTACTCTGTTGATAGCTGTGTCTTTCTTGCTGCCCTAGGCTAGTTCCGTTGTCACTAATAAACAATAAAAGTTCTGTAGCTCTGTTGCATGATTGATGTGGGGTTGGACGATAGCCGTTCATTATTTTTCGGATGGCCATCAGGGGCGTAGCCGGGATTTTTCTAGAGGTACGCACAATTTCCCAAACTGCACTCTATTGTTAACGGGATTCCCGATTTGTTGAGCTGTATTCCTGATTCCGGATTCCAAAAGCAAATGTCCTACGATTTTCTTAAGTTTATTTTTTCATATTTCACTCAGGCTAGTTTCGTAGCAAAAGGAAACCTAAAATTTCCGGATTAAAAACTGTGTGGAGAGAGGAATCAGAAAAATTCTCACTTTCAGTAATACGTTAAATTGCATCTAACTAGCCTAGGCATAATAAAACTGAAGCCCTTGCAATTTCGAAAACACTTACTGAGTTCCCCTAGGACGACCGAACAGATACAAATTTTATAGCGCCACATAGCGAGCATTTCTAGTGATCTAATAGTTCTCTGGACAGCCTAAAAAGTGTTTTCAACGTATTTAGGAGGAAATCGTCGTTGACGGAATGACATACTCCGGTAACAATATCAAAATGCCCAGGTGTCTAAATCAAAAGGAAATAGACTGGAGCGTCGACTTTAAACTCAGCACCAGTAGAGATTTTACAGTTGATTTTTAAGTTTCATTTGCAGTCATGAACGAGTGCTAAACAGGAAGGCATAATTATCACGCAGATCATGCACACTGCAACACCAAAGGAGACATTTTTTTTATTTTTGGAAGCTACTAGGGTATGCAGGAAACGGTCTCTGATCTCAATCTTGCTTTGCATCCTCCTGTCGATCGACTCTCTGCTATGGCAGATTAGCACAAATTTACGCACATTTTTTAAATGGTCAGTGTTGTTGAGGTTGTAACTAGAAATATACGATTTTCGTTATCATTTTCAGATGTTTATATTGAGTGCATCCAAGAATCACAGACATGCCTTCAAAGCCTTGCGTCTTTCTAAAATACTGATAGCTCGTTCAATTGTCATTGTCAAGATTGATATATAGGTGACGAGAAGACACTCTGCAACCCTAAAGGTTAAGGGATTATTGGACAAATGGAGGGGTGATGGATTATAGTTAGTTGACAGCGCGTCCTGCTAAACGGTTGCTATCAAAGTGCCGTGTTCTCAGCAAACCAACTCTATCTCACAAATTGCTGTGATCATTCTGGCGAAACCTTTAATGGAGTGGCATTATATGTTTATCCAGTCGCTTCGTTTGATTCATTTGCCACTCACTAAAATTGCAAAATAATCAGAATACCATGACTTATGATCACTTGGATCATGGTGGATAGAATTTAGCGATAAATCCTTTCGTCAATATGGGATTTATCAGTTCCTCAGATGCACCATGATCCAAGTGATCTTGGATCATAAAAGGAACGAACCCTAAGTAAAGAAAAAAGGAGAGATTAACCTCAGGAAAGGATGAGGCTCAATATAACATACGCCTGCCGGTTCATCAGCTTAAGTTAAGGAGCGAAAGAAAAAAGACTTATGTAATAAAGTATAGTTTCTCACAATGTCAATAAAAGTTAATTGAAACACTTTTCGAATTTTGAAATGCTGGACTGAGCTTTTGCACTCATAGGACCCTTGTGGAATTAAAAATAAATTTTAAGTCTCCCTGTTAACAAATGCATCAGAAAAACACTCAGCGGATTTGTCCTTCCCTTAAGAATTCACTGTAACAGTTACTTGTGACAATGCCGGAAGGAAATTTTTGCTGACTATGAAAGCCTCGGAAAGGATAGTGATTGGACAAAACCCATCACCTATCTTGTACCAGGAGGAAACACTCGAGTTCTGTCGATGGCCGAGGAAGACACAAAGGGATGGTTTGGAATAATTGGCTCCACTATAGTAACGGACTGGTAACTGATGAAACCATGGAAATGCAACAGCAATTTTTATCGTGGATAGAATTCCCCGGATTTTAATGACCAGGTCTGGCCTTTCGCAAAAGTGCAGGTTGGAAACCATAGTGTCAGCCCCTGGAACACAATAGATGGCCTAGCAGAGACGGCTAAGTGGATATAGGCCAATAATACTGAAACTACAGAAAAAGTAAGCAAAAAATGATTTAAACTAAAACGAGTGTGTAACTGTAGTCAGTTTTAAGAGGACGAAGCGGGTAGCCGGAAGTATTATAATGTTAATATTAAACTTCATGGCTGCCTCCAGTCACCTCTTTGTAAAGATCCACTTTATTTGAGTGTAAATGTATTTACTGTAATAGTATAGTAATTAAGTACTCGTTAAGGACATTATTTTTACGTCTCCTAAAGGAGAAGGGACTGCAATTTTACATGGTCATTCTAGCTACGCGAAGCCTGATCTATCCGTTTACATGCAGGGCAGAGGAAGTACCTTGACTTCATTTTTCAGTACTGATATAAGACCCTGAGTACTAGTCCGGCCTCAAAAGAATCGAACCCCCGACCTTCCGCTCTGCAGCAGTCAAGTGCTTTACCGAGTTAGCTAATGGCCTACCAAGGTACTGAAAAAGGTACTGCGTGGGATCTGCCGGACTGCGATGTGCATTAAGAGGAAGGCTTACGTTATTGGAGAAAAAAAAAATTCCATGCTGCCAAACATGATAAATAAGGCTGGATACGTGTCCTTTATATGTGGTAAAGTATAGAGAGGTACAGAATGTGATATAGTATAACAAAATAACGCCAAAATGTTTTACCTATTTGCAATATGATATTTCCACAAGAGATTTTCATGAATTAGCACCCTTAGATTTCCCTGGGTACCGGAGGTTTTTTCTGGCGTGCGACGGGAAGCTTTATTTTGTCGGCCGACAAGGCCGAAGACACGAGCGGCGAAGCCGCGAGAAAAAACTTTTCGCTTTTCGCGCGGGTCACTTTCTAGACTTGACCGAAACCGGAAACCGCGAATGAAAAGCCTCTGTCACCCAGGGTACCCTTAGATATATTTGACATTTTTTGTGTTCTAAGGAGATGCAGCTGGTCCGGGTATATGGTGAAATATACTTTCAAATCAATTTGGTAATCTACAAAAATTCACTGTTAACTGGTCGCGCGATAAATGACAAAGCTTAGGATTTCTTTACATGGCAATCTTTATTTTTGAATACATATGAGTCTCTGAAAGTGCATTCTGCTGTATTTTCTTTCTAAAAAAATCTTTCGATAGAAAGTACGTCAGTACTTTGATCGCCAACACGCAGACGTAAACCAAAAGGGTTGTAGGGTATCCGTTATAGGAAAGAAAATCTTTTTTTCACTATTCCCAGTTAGACGTCTGGTTGATTATTTCGTAGATCCGTCATTAAACTTCACCTGCTAATTACATATTTGTGGCTTCAGGTGGGTTTGGCTAATTTTCCATAAGCAAGAATAAGAATAAGAATTTTGCAGGTCTTGAACCTGCTGAGGTGGATATCCGCTTTCATCATTGCAGCATAATTCTTTATACCTTACTCAGCTGATTCAATAACTGTCTAGTAGAACTCCAGAATTTATTATTCTTTATAGAGCTCATTAGTTAAAGTTAAATCGAGATGAGTGCCTGGAAGTAAAGTTCACATTGCCGACTGCAATTCAAAATTTTCTGAAAAAAAAAGTACCGATTCTGAGATCATTGTTGTTCCTCTGAGATAACATTTCATGAATAAATTATGAAGGCTTAGTCGTTTGGTGATAAATTAGCCTTTTTAAGGCAACTTGTATTTCTCTTTCATGTTCTCGGTGATTACAAAAAAAAAAAAAACATCTCTCCAAATAATCCGTAGAATTAGGAAATCTTCGTGAGGGGCATTAGGCTTCTTCTTGAAGTTAATCATAAATTGTAAATATATATTTCATAGGAACCGCAACTGCGAATGAATGACCCGCCATGAAGATACAGCTAATGGCAAATGAAGAGAAAAAGTCCATGATTTGGCAGACGAGAGAAGATAATTATGCTAATGGCCTCGTAAAGACTCAGCTCTAGGCAAGTTTTCATATGCGAGCTGTTACTCGGAGAACGGTGCACTAATACTTCCGGGCCGAGATGATCCATGAATCCATTATGGCATCGAACAAAAGGAACAAGAGGAGGGGTTCGATATCAGTTACTGTCAGTATAATATTGCCCCGTGAAGTTTCTATTGGCAATTGCTTCCAGCTGAATGTCCAGAAATCGGATCCGTGATCGCTGATTTAGGACTATCGACGTTGATTCAATCTTAAACTACTACAAGCGGCTTAAAAACGTTTTACAGTTGTTTCCATTGCTTTTCAGTGAATAGGTATTTTAATAGGAAACCTGTCATTCGCTTAAAATTGTTTTCAATTTGTCTGCTCTGAATGATGAAACATTTATAGGAATACCACAACAGCTCAAAACATTTTCGGTCTTTTATAATAGGATAGCGTACACATTGCCCCTGAGACTTCGCAACTTGAAATCGTTTGATGATCTTGCATGTATTCATACTTTTATTGAATATAATTTCAGTGAGTAAAATGTAAGAAAACCGAAGATTTGTCGATTAATAATAAAATAGTCGTATAACGTTAACAAATATCTAGCTCCGCCTTTTTTTTTCTGCTAATTGACTCCAAACTAAATTGACTTAAGAGGCCTATTACCGCACAGTCAAGTTTTAATTTTCTGTAATTGAAGCAATTCCATTTAATCCTTCGTGTTCTTTCGCAACACTTTCTCGAATAAGCTCCTGCCTTGGGACAGAAGTCTAGGTAAGTAACATGTCTGGGCTTTAGTCTTCTAAGTTGATTACAAAGTGGAAATGTAATATCATATTTTCAAGACGTTTAGCAAACTCCCCAATACGAGCTCATACGCGTTTCCATTTGAGACAAAACACCACTCTATGTTTTGACGACGCAACGAGAACGCCGGAAAAGCAACTTTGCACTTGCATTGCATGTACATATCTTTGCTGTCAATGCCTGAAATCGAAGTAGAATTGCCTAATTTCACGTTTATTATGGAGAGTGTAAAGACAGACGACGACGAACTTTAATTCAGCTTTCTGAACTTGGAAGGGGGCTCTTAGGAGTTTAATGACAAGACAGTTCGCCTATGTTTGACAAAGAAAGGGAGCTGATGTTTAGAATTACGCGAAGGCACTTCTAAGATAACTTTTTCGCTAGCGTCGGAAGGTGATAAAACGGTAGAGCCATGGGGAAAAAATAAAAGAACCTGACTAAGAAAAGAAGAACATTTTTCATTAGATTGTAAATTTTTAGCACGAAAGTACTAAAGGACACCTAATAAATTTCACATCTCCTACACTAGAGACGGAAGGAGTGGCACTTTACGTGTTTATCCGAGCCACGAACGATCTGGCCGTTTGTAGGGCAAAGGTAAATATTGCTGCGGCCGCGAGGATCGACCTCGCGGCCATCCTTCCGCTCTGCAGTCAAGTGCGGAGATCTGCCGGACTGCGATGTGCATTAATAAGAGGAAAGCATGCGTTATTGGACGAAAAAGAAAAAAGAATTTCATGCTACCAAATATAATAAATATCCCGTAAAGTATAGAGCGGTATAGCATAGCAAAATAACCCCAAAATGTTTTACCTATTTGCAATATGACATTTCCACGAGAGATTTTCAAGACGTGAGAACCGTAGATATATTTGAAATTTGTGTGTGTGTGTGTTCTAAGGAGATGCAGCCGGTCCGGGTGTATGGTGAATATACTTTCAAATCAACTTCGTAATGTAACGTTTTTCTGACTTAAGGTCGCGTGATAAATGACAAAGCTTAAGATTGCTTTACGTGGCAATCTTCATTTTTGAATACATGAGTCTGAAAATGCATTCTGCTGTATTTTCTTTCTTTGGTTCATTCCATTAAGACTAAGAAAAAAAATCGTTGTATAGAAAGTACGTACTACTTCGCCAAGCAGACGTAAAACAGCAGTGTTGAAGAGCATCCATTATGAGACAAAAAGAAAATTTCATGTTTCACTGCCGTTGCTGGTTGATTATTTTACGTAAATCCGCTGTTATACATCATGTACTAATTACAAATTTGTGGCTTTAGGTGGGTTTGGCAAATTTTCCATATGAAAGAATAAAAATACGAATTTTGCAGGCCTTGAACCTGCTGAAGTGGATATCCTCTTTCGCCCGCATATTCTTCATAGCCTTCTAATAGCCTTAGGGACTGTGCAATAATTATCTGGAGGGGGGGTTCTAAAATTAGCAAAGTAGGCCTTAAAATAAAGTTGCACCCCCCTGAATTAAAGTTAAAATAACTTCTTGTCCACCCCCGTCTAGAGGGGAGATTACTTTCAACCCCCCCTCCCCAACCTCCG